AAAAGATTGATGTTATAACTGTTTTATGCAATTATACAGCCGTTGGGGACCTTTTGATCAAGCAAAAGTTGGGCTTTGTGACGCAACTCTCCTAGTTTGTTTCTGGTACTAGGCCCCGAAATACCTTGAAAGCAAAGTGTGCCTTAGGAGATAACCCACGTAATTCAACAACTTTATTAGCAATGATTGAACAAAAAACTATGACTTAGCTGAGTGATGTGTGGTGTTGGAGCTAAAAGTCCACTAGTTTGGCACGATAGAGATATCATTGATGGTTGCTGTTTTTGAAGTGTCTAATTAGGTCTATGATGGTTCGGTAATTTTGAAGGACAGATGAGGCTTATGGTAAAGATCAGAATGAAGGAAAGGCTAAGGCTCATGAATTAGGGTTTTTCAACAATGAGAGATCGCTTCCTCTGTCTGGTGCGTTCCCCTTTTTCTAAGCGTGTTGATGGCTTGAATTTATAGGCGCATGAGTTCCTCAAAATACCAGCTAGAAAATTCCTGGTTTTCTCTCCATCAAGCCTCTTTAGGTTAGTATTGTAGAGAGTTGGTAGACTCGTAAGGCTAGGTTAAACATTCTGGCCAGAAACCCTCCTTTTGGTACCGTTTGGTATGAAACGGGACGGGACGGGACGAAATGGACGGGACGGAACGGAGGTTCCATGTATGTTTAGTACGCGCAGGACGGAACATGATGGTTGTTCCTCACCTGTAAAAAACAGAAAAACCCAACCCAAATCAGACAAATAAGAAATCTTTTAGACCAATTTTGAACGAATCGTCGGAAAAAACCAAATGGGTACCTCTCAAATCGGCTATTTGACGATGAGGGATGAAGCTTCGATTCTGAAAAGAGAGCAGGTTACTAAGTCCGCCACCCATATCTCTCCGTGTCTCTTCCCTTTCTCTTCCCCGAGTTTAAAATACAGCTTTTTTCAGTAAATTAATCCCAAATATTTTACAGCATAACAACAAATGGTAAAATTTATAGCTTTTTCAAGTAAAGTTTCGTTCTTTTCAGTTCTTAGAGCAACGAAACAAGGGGCAAAAGAGTAATTAAGTAGTGAGCTCGTGAGATGTTGTACCTTGCCATGGAAGTGGTGCTTATTCTTGAAAATGGCATTGTAGTAAGCGTCCATGCAGACTCGATCGGAGAGCATCTCCTTCTGGTGGTAGAGGAAGGCATAGGTGCAGAAGTAGTTGGCGAAGTCAACGCCTTTGTCCACCGGGGCACCGCCAGCATCACCATTGCTGGTGCCGCTTTGGTCCCCGCCACGGCCACCGTTTCTGTAGCTCCCCATGTAGCTAGTGTAGGAAATGGTGGTGGCGGATTAGTAGTGATCAATCAAATGCTCTCTCACTCGGGGAAGAGAAAGGGAAGAAACACAGAGAGAGATGGGGGCCAGGGCTTTTGGTTCTTAAAATGTTATAATTTTGTGTTCAATGGACGTGGAACGAGTCGTTTCAAGGGATGAGGCAGAACGAAAATTCACTCAAAACTCGTTTCATAGAACAACACGTTTCACCTGTTTTAGGCGCACTAAATGTGGGACGGAATGTCTCATTCCACTCTGTTCCGTCCCGTCCCACGTACCAAACGGTACCTTTATGCATTAAAATCCCATAACAAAGCTACATCTCTGCCTACACTCTTCTCCGTTTTCTCCTTTGGTTTCATACGTGAGCTAAAATGGTAAGGTTCTTCCAACACGTTAAAATATTGTGAACAACTCAAGATTAGACTCTATCAATGCAAGAATCTAGGCAAACTAGATTTTGAATATGGTTGGATTTGAAGTATTTGAGTCGGTTTGTACGGAAAAAGGTAGGGAATCATCTCTCGCTGCCTTCCCACTTGAGATTAAAGCCGCAAGCTCGGATTTTGGTGCTCCCAAGTAGCTTAAAATCTCCATAAGCTTTAATTCCACATAAGCCCAATGAACTTTCACAACTGCCCACACCACAACCCACTCGACAAGCTTTGTTATATGGTCTGGGCCCACTTAAGCATGTCGAGTGAAGAGTAGCTTGGCGTGATTCGAATTAAAATGTTAATGTATTAATATTATTACTTTGTTTCGCTATAGCCTAACAAGATAATAACTTGGTTTTGTATAGGCTTAGCATAGATTTTTCGAATGTCCGAAATATATACTAGGGAAATACCCCAAAATGGGACAATTTCTTAATTTTGGGACAGAAATAGGACAAATCGGCCATGCACACCATGCACAAAATCGAAATTACTAAAATACCCACATATAAATACTAAAAATCATCTGTCCATTGCATCATTGTTGTCATTTGGAAGAGAGAGATGTCGAGAGAGCTCTGTGATCTCTGGGTTGAGCTCAGATCTCCGAGCTTCGATTTCAAAGAGAGTGAAGTCCAAAAAGAGGCAAGAAGCGTGAGTTGGGTTTTGGGTTGACCTCATGCCTCTAATTTCGAAGAAGGGGATGCGAGAGAGAGGTGAGAAGAATGAGCTGGATTTTGTACCATATTTTCTGTTTTGGCCGAAAGGTTCCATTTTTCCGATGACTAAAGCATCAGCATGCGGTGTTTAGTTCCAAATTCCTTCATCAATGATTTATGGAATAAATGGGTTGTTTGTAAGATGAATTAATACTTAGAAGTTAAATTAGGGTTTGTGTTTCATGTTGGGGTGTATGGGTCAAAATTTGACGTGCTAGAAAACTGGGATGGAACTATTTTTGGTTCAAGTGTCCAATTGCAGAAATTTGTGAAAATTTTTCCGTAATGTGCATGTGGTGTGCATGGCTACAACTTAATATAAGAAGCGGGAATGTTCACTAATTATGATGCGCGTATGTTGTGCCTCGCAATTTAGCGAGTATGACAACAATCTAGTCGGCCTCGGCGAAAAAAAAAATATGAAAAAATGCTTAGAAGATGTTAAGGGTCATGCGTGTCCATGAAATAATGACAATGTGTATCGTGATTTCCACGTGCATGGTTAAATGGTGGTTGATATACGTAACAAGACTTTTCAAACTGTCACTGTAACCTTATATACGTAACAATTATGTTTTAATTGTATCCATTATACCAATATATTGCTATTAAATTTTCTCCCACTCTGTGTATATCATGTGCATGTACTGTACATATTATGTGCATGTACTGTGCATATAGTGTATTGGTGTGTATTTACGTATTTGATACTCTTCACATTAATGTAGCTTACTACTTTTTCCTTTGATTCAAAGGTAGGCCCTGCAAATACTAAAAAAGTGAACAAGTTCGTGAAACAATTTCCTTTGATTCAGTTGGTTCTTTCGTGCCCATTCAAATTGCAATTTTTCAAATCCTTGAAATATTTGAACCCAATCAAATTGATACCAAATTCAAATTAATGAATCTTTGATTCTTCATATAAAGTTTAAGGTCATTTATCTAATTGAGTTATTTTTCTGATTTCGAAGAGAGAGTTGTGAGCTATGGATTTTTGGGTTGAGCTCAGATCTGTGAGCATAAGACATGCATGTCGTGTACATACAATGTGTAGCGAGCTTAATATGAAGAGAGCAAATGAATACGCAAAACAATTTCGTCCATATCCTTCTCTCTTCCTTTCTCTCAAATTTATCTTTCTCCAAAAGGTAACTGACCTTTACGTTTTTTCATTTAATTGCAGCAAAAGTCAAACCCTATTTTCATTCTTGTAAATTTGGATCGAGAAAGGGAGCAGAGGGAGGGAGAAGATAGAAGAAATGAAAACCCACATATAAATATAAATCAGAGAGATGATAAAAATAAAAAATAAAAATTGAAGGATTTGGGTCTCTTCCAAGAAAGACCAAATCAATTACTTCAACTCCAAAAATCCATCAATCAAAAAGCAAAATTAAGCAAACTCAGTTCACAAAACCTATAAATAAAAAGGATAGCTCTTGTGCACATTCGAAATGTAGAGAGATAGCTCTTGTGCATACTTAAAATGCAGAGAATGGAGAGAGAGAGAGAGAGAGAGAGAGCTTGGATGAAGAAGACGGGTGGGTTAGAGAGAGAGCTCTTGGATGAAGAAGATCGGTGGGTTCGGGTTCTTCAAATTGGAATTGGGCGAGAGAGATTTTCTCTGTTTCTCTTTCTACAAAATGAGAAATGAAGGCTGAAATTTATGGATGACCCACTTATATGGGAGGACAATTTGGTCATTTCAAGGTGTAGGAAAAATCATATTTCTGTTTGATTGTTGTGCATGGTGTGTGCATGCCATGTGCATATCCGAAATGTCCTGCTTTTGTCCCAAGATTAAGAAATTGTCCCATTTTGGGGTATTTCCCTATATAGGATTTTTAGCCAAAATGGTCTCTGATATTTGCATAACTCATCACTTTGGTTCTTAAGATTTGAAATCAATAGAAGTGGTTTCTGAGTTTGTCCACCATCAATCACTTCGGTCATTCCATGAAAAATCTCCATTAAATAAGGCTAAAATGACAAAAACACCCTCAAATTTTGTCAAATCATTTGGCCCACTGTTTATTAATTTGAGGGTATTTTTATCATTTTGATCTTTATTTAATATATTTTTTCATGGAAGGACCAAAATGATTGATGATGGACAAACTCAAAGACCACTTCTATTGATTTCAAATCTCAGAGACCAAAGTGATGAGTTATGCAAATCTCAATGACCATTTTGGCTAAAACGCCCCCTATATATTGCCATATTTTTTGACATGACAGGATTGTGAATTTGCATACCTCTTGTTTTGCACTCTATGCATGAATTTAATTTTGGTTTGGTACGAATATATAGTGATTGGGCTTCCAAATATACTTTGGCTTTAGTAAAGATATCTGCAAGTTGTTCTTTCACTTCTACAGAACTTCATATCAATCACTCATTCTTGTAATGTTTCCCTATTAAAATGATGCTCCCTATTTATCTGTCTGGTTTTATGGTGGAAGATAGGATTCTTCACCATAGAAATTGCAGATATGTTATCACATAACAAAGGGGTTGTATCAGTTTACATCTCCCCAAAATCATCAAGCACAAACCATAACCAAATAGACTGAGTTGTGGCCTCTACTGCAAAGACATACTCAGCTTCTACAGTTGATAAAGTAGCTGTGTTTTGCTTCACAGAGGTCCAGAATAAGACACCACTTCCAAAACTGAAGGCATAGCTTGAGGTGCTTCTACTATCATCTTCACTACCTGCCCAGTTAACATCACATGATCCCTTAAGTGTTGCTTCTTTGTCTTTTACATAATCAATCTCATAGCTTATTGTACTCTGCATATATCTCAGGACTCTCCTTACAACTCCAAAATGTTTCTTTATGGGACTGTTCATGAACCTTGACAATAAACTGGCAGCATACATCAAATCTGGTATAGTTGCTGTCAAATACAAAAAGCTCCCTACAATCTTCATGTACATGCTTTAATCAGCCAATTCAATTCCATCAACTTTCTTGAGTTTTTCTCCTGTAGACAATGGAATTGGCACAGGTTTGCAGTCTTCAAGACCAAATTTCAACGGGAGTGACTTTGCATACTTGCTTTGATGAATGAACACACCCTTATTAGTTTGCAGAATTCCCATTCCCAAGAAGTGAAGCACCCCTAAATCAGACATCTCATATTTCTGCATCATCTCTCTTTTAAATTCACTGGTGTATACAATATCATCCACATACAGTGACACAATGATCAATCCATATTCTTCATCAAATCTTGTGTTTAGTGTAGCCTCACTAGTGCTTTTCTTGAACTTACAATTAATCAAGTAAGTATCAATCTCACTGTACCAGGCTCTAGGAGCCTGTTTTAAGCCATATAATGCTTTCCTCAGCTTGTAAACCTTGCGATAGCATTCTTCAATTCAAAACCTTCAGGTTGCTCAGTGTACACTTCCTTTTATAGAAAACCATTTATGAATTGTGATTTTACAACTAATTGAAATAGCTTCCATCTTTTTTGTGTTGTAAGAGCAATGAGACTTCGAATTATGTCTAACCTTGCCACTGGGGCAAAGGTTTCATACCAAGCTTTTGTGCCTTTTGCAGCAAGCCTAGCCTTCTACTTTTGGACAATTCCATCCAAATTGAGCTTAGTTCTAAGAACCAATTTTATTCCTATGACAAGCTTATTAGTTGGTCTCTCTGCTAGTTGCTATATGTCATTTTTTCTCAATCATTTCAATCTCAGTAGTCATAACTTCTTGCCAAGCTTGATCCTGTGCTGCCTCTTGATAGCTTTTCAGTTCAACAATACACAAGTGACACTAGGGCTAGGTTCGGTTCAAAACGGTTCGGTTTTTTGCCAAAACCGAAACCGAACCAAAATTTCAGTTTGGTCCAATTTTTTTTGGGTTTTTTTTTGGTTCAGTTTTTTTTTTTTTTCGCCTTCAACAAAAAAAAAATCCTAAGAAAACAAAGCTTGCAGCCATTTATACATCTTCCAGAGAAAACAAGCTTATTGCCAAGTGTAAATGTCAAAACCAAAGAGCTAAATCATCGGAAAATTAGGATACAATACACCTCTCCGAAAAACAGGACAAAAGTCATAGAGAGAATTATAGCAACATACTGATTGAAAATTTTATATAAATATATCGGAAGAGCCTGCAGATTGAAAACATCAAAGTTAATAGCTGTTATTGAATCTTCAAACTTTAAATGCTAAATGAGAACTCTCAATTGGATACACATTCTGCATTGAATAACATCAATATTCTTATACCAGATTCAATTTAATTTTGGCAAAACCAAATCTGATATGAAAGAAAACGATTGACAACGAAAACCGCTGCTATTCTTAAAATTGGAGTGCCACTCGCCTCTATAGCAGCCGTATTACACAATAGCAAAGTGACAAGCAGCTGATGCTGCTTCTAAACCATCGGCAATATAACAAATGAAAGAAAAAAAACCACACAAATTTCAAAAAAAATTAGATGAACTACGAGCGAGACAAAACAGAAATTCAGGAATCAGCGAGAAACGAGATGGAGGAGAACGAACCTACTTGTTTCTTCTCGATGGGGGAACCGCTGCACTGCAGAATCTCGAGCTCGACGAGGCCTAGAGTTAGGCCGAACATTATACTGACGAAGATGATGAAGAAACAGGAGAGGCTGTATAAATGAACCACCAGGCGGATCCGAAGAGGATGGCGCCCAAAGAGTTTGAGAGAGTGAGAGACAGAGACTTTGATAAAGTGATTGAAGACCAAGAGAGAGAAAGAGGAGGCTCAGAGTGAATGAGGGATCGATGTTTAGCTTTAAGGTTTCAGATTGAAGTCACTGAACGATGTCGTCGACCAATACAAATATAAACTTTCAGAACGACATGCCGTTTCTATTACTAAATGTAAAATGACGTTGTTTCTTACAATGTTTTAGTTCAGTTCGGTTTGGTTCGGTTTTCGAAACTCAGAAACCAACCAGATTCGGTTTGGTTTGATTTTTTTTTCGGTTCGGTTTTTTTGTTTGGTCCAATTTTTTTGGTTTCAGTTCGGTTTTGGTTTTTTGTTTTTTGAAACCACCCCTATGTAACATCTTGCATATGTTTCATCCAAGCTTCTCAATTTCACTAATGTTGAACTGGTTGTTGAATCTTGACTTTGGCTTTCACTCCTACTAGTGGATGAATTGTCAGGACTTAAAATTGGTTTTGAACTTTACGTAGTTTCAACTTGAGTTTCATAAGTTGAGGTTTCCTGCATATCAATACCATACACATAATTTTCCAGACTAAGAGGTATTGAGAGTGTTTCAAGCTGTCTGCATTCCCAATTCCAGGATTGATCCTTATTGAACACCACATTTTTGGTGAGGATAATTTTCTTGGATTGCAAGTTATAAACCCATATAGCCTTTCTCGCATCTACCATATCCTATGAAAATGCCTTTGCTTGGCTTTTCATCAAATTTATGCCTTAATTGTGATGGAATGTGTGTGTAACATATGCATCCAAACAGTTTCAAGTGCTTTATACTAGATATTCTACATATGAATGCTTCAAATGGAGTTTTGTCTTTCACTGCAGTTGTAAAACACCTATTTTGCAAATATGTTGTAGTGTCAACTACTTTAGCTCAAAACATCAAAGGAATCTTCTTCTCGGCCATTATTGACCTTGCCATTTCTCCATTGGTCCTATTTCTTCTCTCAACAACTCCATTTTGTTGAGGTATATAGGCAACCGTTAATTGCCTCACCATTCCTATGTTTGAACGACAATCTAGAAACTCATGAGAGGTATATTCACTCCCTCTGTCACTTCTCAAGTTCTTTAGACTAAACCCACTTTGCAACTCCACAAAAGCTTAAAACTTTTTAAACGCATTGAACACATCAGACTTATTTATGAGAAAATACACCCAATATATTCCTAAAAAATCATCAATGAATATGATGAAGTACCTGTTCCCACCAATGGGTTCATTTTTCATTGGTCCACACACATCTATGTGTACAAGCTCAAGTGGATAGCTTACTCTCAACACTTTCTCTTTATTAAATAGTTCTCTATGCATTTTTCCAGAAACGTAGCCTTCACAAACTTCCTTCTTTTATGATAGCTTAGGTAGACCTAGCACCATTCCCTCTCTTTGCATCCTTTTTAGATTACCAATGTTCAAGTGACAAAGCCTTTTGTGGAAGCTCCATGACTCTTCTTCAATTGAGGCTTTCCTTGCTACAAAAGTTATAGACTTTAAGGACAGTGGGAAGCACTTATTTCCAACCATTATTACTTTAGCTACGACATTTTCAAGATTGAAGTCATCAAAGATTACTGCCATATTTCCACCAAACAAGACATAATAGCCATGCTCCATCATTTGACCAACACTTAATAGGTTTTCATTTAACCCTAGAACCAACATAACTTCATTTATGTATCTTTTCCCATGTTTTGTATCCACTATAAGTGTTCCCTTCCTTGTTGCTTGTTCCAAATTACCAGTTCCCATTTTCACTTTGCATGTAACCGAGCTGTCAAGATTTAACAGTAAGGACTCTTGAAAAGTCATGTGGTTGCTGTAGGCATTGTCCATAAACCACAAAGATCTATCTTGAATGATTGAGGCTGAGTGACAAGCATAAAACATTGTACTTGTGGTTACATCTTCCTCTTTTTCATAGTTGGCAACCTACTTGTTATTATCATAATCATTTGCAGTATGCCAAAATCTATTGCACTTACCACATTTTGACTTACCTTTGTACCTACATATGCCAAAATGATATTTGTCACATGTTTGACTTGTGGTTTTCCAATTCCTTGACTGCCACTACCTTGCCTATTTTGAAATGTGTTCCTGTTGTTCCAACTCCCACTACTTTGGTTGTTCCAACCAGAGTTACCACTGTCATTCTAGTTGTTGTTTTGTGACCAGCTCTTCCCTTTCTTATTTTGTTTGCCTTATGCACCTGTATAACTTCCATTACCACTAGGGGTGGGCAAATAGGTCTAGGACCTGCGGGGTGAGGCGGGTACAAATTTTGTAAACTCAAAATGGGGCGGGGCGGGATAGGTCTTCTATCTTTGAAAAAAGGCCCCCGGCCTGGACCATTTCCACTCTCCATCATATGGATATCCACCATTCCATTTCCAAACATATATACTCTCTCTGTCTTTCCGCTCTCGAATTCCCAAGTTAAGACTTTCCCCTTTCTCAAATTTTGAAATCGAGCAAGTCTTTCTCTCCCGACTCCTGAATCACCTACTCAACGACCTCACAGAGAAGGAGATCGGCATCCTTGCCAACTGGGAAAAGAAGTTTGAAGCTTACTGAGTTGACGACATCATCGAGACTATCACCGATTCACCGATTCACCGTCATCACCCATCACCGTTGTTGCGACCAGCTCCAGCCATAGTTCTCTCAATCTCTCCCACTCCTGAATCACCTACCAGATGAAATTAAAGAACCCAGGTCCTAGATCGTTACCGATTCACCATCGTCACCCATCATTGATGTCGCGACCATTACCACCCATTGCCGCCATCGAGGACACTGTCATCATCCTCCTAAATTTATGTAATTTGTTAACTAGGATTTATTTTTCTTTATGTGAATCTCTAATATAGGGATTTAGAGTTTTTGAATTAGGATTGCCGTGAGTTTTAGATTATGTTCTAGGTTTTAGAATATAGATATTGAAGATTAATCCTTGCGAGTTCTAGGTTCTGTTCTGGTTTTTATTTTTTTTATTTATTTATTTTATTTTATTATTATTATTATTATTATTATTATTATTATTATTATTTTGCTATTTTTGTGCTTGTTGATGTTTCTTTTCAATTTTGATGTTTTGATCATTGATTGGTTAGTTTTGTCTGTTTGCATGATCAAAGGGGTTTGATTTGTTATTTTTGCATCTAGGTTTGCTTTGATTTGTTGCTTGTTGCTATGCAGCCTCTGTGCTG